CCTGACAGGATTTTGCATGTCAGGTTCACAACTACACAGAGATGGGTCTCTGTTTGATCTTTTGTAAAAGCTAGAGCACATAGCTAGACTGATATGATGTTCCCGGAAAATATCTAACACGTTAGTCTCGAATTAATATCCAACCTTCAGTCTCCTGTTTCTGTAACATTTGTTAGTTAAAGAAATATCTAACCTCCAGTGTCCTGTTTTTGTAAAGTGATACACACACGATAATGCTCTTGGCAAATTTGGAGTTGTTTTTTTCAGATTCGGCATGGGTCTCAACGGAATCAATTAATCCAATGGATTGAAGTGATTCTACAAATTATAACAAATTGTAGCATTACTCCACTGATTTCCTGGCGGCACCATGAAGACGAAATAAGGTTCTTCCCAACTAGCCCCCGTCCCGGCAATGCATCTCGCAACGCCGGAGGGCATGTGGAGTTGTGTCTCCGGCAGATCTTGCGTGATTTGGTCGGTGTTTGTCTCCAGTGGATCCGTGAGGATCCAATTTTCATTCCTCCGTGTTCGTGTGTCTATGGATTGGATCCTAGCGATCTACGCTTCTCTTTATCGGCGACGGTTGCTATTCTGGTGTACTGGTCATATATGGCCTTTGCACGCCGACTGCCCGACTGTGTACTGCAATTTTTTTTTTTGCCCGGCTCATGTGAGGGAGGGGCAATGACAATGGCACGTCTTCAACTCGCTCTGGTGTTGTAGTCATCGGTAAATGGTCTACGGACATGGATGTAATTTTTGTTACTTCGTGTATTCTTTGTACTGTCATGATACTTGATGAATAGATTGGAAGTTTTTGCCGCAAAAGAAAAATCAGTGTATAACATTATGTATTGTTCCCCGCAAAGAAAAAACCATTACGTATTGTCATACTAGCTAGATGAGTACGTGGAGATCTGAGAACTTGTAGATATTGGAGTAACTTGTTTTCTCTTCACGAAAAGAAAATGTCGTACTTCTTCAAGTCTCCAAAAAAACTGACCTCTCAAACATTGCCCTCAGAATCTTGCCTTCCTCTTCTTCCACGGTTACATTCAAGGGTTGGAGACAGACTTCCAAATGTATGACAAAGACGAGTACCGACCCGAAAGGTACACTGTAAGAACTAGTCAACAATTAGTGAATGCTGCCCTTTCTTCTACGGCATACGACGCTTCTTCCAAACTTTGATCGTTCTCACTACTTGTCAGTCAGTCCATGAGTGAGACCCAACATATATGCAAATTCCGCTAGATGTTATATATTGCATTCACAAGTTGAAGCGCCGGCACAGTACCATCCAACACAGACAGAGAAACACTTTAGATATACAAGATGAGCACGGCCATGGCATTACTGGTGCTTGCAGTGCTCGTGTTGCCGTGGGTAACAACCGCCGCGGTGACTACGGCGAGAAGAAACTGCTCCGACACCTGTGATGGTTATAATAAGATACCTTATCCGTTCGGATTAGGTCCTTCGTGCTCCTTGCCTGGTTTCAGTCTCACTTGTGCGGACGGCAACCCCCTGCTGGGCAACCTATCCATCATGGCCTTCTTGGATCCCAACGACTACCTGCTCGCCCCTATCTCGTTCTCGGTGAAGATGATTCCCGGTGTCCGTGACTACTCTGTTCACTGGGAAGCTCCGGCCCGGCACTTTGCCATGACGACTGGCTCGTCAAACATGTTGTTCGTCGTGGGCTGCGGCGTCAAGGCCTCGCTGTTCATGGACAACTCGACCGTTGAGGTTGGGAACTGCTCCGTCATCTGTGCCGAAGCTCGATTCATGGAGAAGCTACCCAAGGGTGTGTGTGATGGCATCGGATGTTGTTTCATCGACATAAAGGTGAACCTAAGGGCGTTCACCCTTAACATCTCGCGCACCGGCGATTTTGGACGCTCGAGTAAGGTGTACGCGTTCATCAGCGGAGGTGGTAAAGACCAAATATTCTGGCCGATTGACGCCCTGAGATCTTTGTTGCCGGAATATCTCGAGGAGTACGAATTTGCTACCCTGGAATGGGCTATTCCCTACAAGCCGAACTGTAAGCGCGCCATGGAGGACAGGGCAAGCTATGCATGCGTTGCTAATCACAGCGAGTGTGAGGACTCGGAGATCGGTGGATACTTTTGTGCTTGCAAGTGGGGTGACGACGGCAACCCCTACGTCCATGGCGGCCGGCGGGTGCCCAAAATACCAACCACCTCCGCCGCCTCCGCCACCTCCACCGCCTCCCGCTCCTCCGGCAGGTCAGCTCTAAATTAAACTATCTGACTGTGCATTCGTTTGATTTGTGGTTAGGGTTAACTTTAATTTCGCCCATGTTCTTTTAATTATATTTTTCATGTGCACAAATTTGTGGGATGAGTATTTTATTTTAAAAATGGGAACTCGTCCCCAGACGCTAACATAATACTATAGATGTGCTATATAAAGTTCTGGCATACAAAGTTTTGATCAGGTTAAATTATGGGAATGACCCAGAATTCGAGTCTTTTCCTTTATATAGGACCAGTGACATCGGGCTTTTAATGAGATTTTACTTACATGTAGAAATGCTATACATCATGATGACATCATCATATTAATTACTAAATTCAATTTTTTTTCAAATGATTTATCTCAGAAATCGTTAATTTGTTCAGTGGTCTATCTTCATTGTGAGTTCATCTCAACGAGGGCTTCGAAAAACAAGGTCCCATGTCATAATGTTTCGATGAAAATTTTTCACAACTAGTTGCCAGCTCATGTCACCATGATTATCATGTTAGGAGTAAGCAATTGCCACGCTAAAACCATTTGCCACGATAACTGTGTACTATTACTAGGCAATAGTTTTGTATATTATTAAAAGTTGTAATAATATACATATCTAGAGAGCGGGTATTCAAATGTCAACTCATACAAGTGCTACTGTAAGAAAAAATCATACAAATACCAGGAGGTAAATATTACATTGGTGTATATTGGTGTTCAGTAATCCGGCAAGAAGGTTATTTTTGTGTGTCAACTACGTGTTTAATAACTTGGTAAGTACAACAACCTAGCAAGTATGGACGACAAAAAGTTATCAAAACATGCCGACATTGGATATAGTTTCGAGGATCTTGCCGTGAGGAAGATAAATGTGAGGATCACTTTAGATCATAGGATTTCCATAGGAATATTGGAAGATTTGGATCTTGAGTATTTTCCCAAAACACCATTGTTTGATATCTGTTGTTCATCTGCTAAAACGTTTGGCATGTCCTCCCCCATTCAACAGTTTATGGCTCCATCCAGCCGAGAGAGGATTGCCCCATGTCGTGTGGGAATGTGCGCATCCCGTTCCCCTTTGGAACAGAGCTAGGCTGCTTTGCAAATGAACATCTCTTCCTCGCATGTACTCCACCCTTGCCAGGGACCTTTCTTCGCGTACTTGAATTGGCCAATCGATTGGCTGTCACTGACATATCTATTGAAGACGGTATTTTGCGCGTTCACGAGGAATCAGAGTCAAGTGATATCTTGTCTGATTCAGGCTCCCTCTATGCTTTATCCGGCAAATGGGGTGTGGTGAAGTGGGTCGTTGATAAAATGACATGCGAGCAGGCAAAGGTAAACGTGAACGACGACTTATGCTTCAGCTTCCATAGCAACTGTATCGATGTCACTGATGATGGAACACTCCAACATCTCGGCTACCGCTGCAAGTGTTCTTCTGGTTTTGAAGGAAATCCTTACATTAAAGATGGTTGCACAGGTATAATATCTTAACATGTTCGTTTATAGTTTTGGAAAAGGTGTCGCTCAACCTGGGTGTAATACACGCTCTTATCAAACATCCATATACATATAGTAGCTCCGAAGTTTCGGGTCGATCACCACTGATGTTATTGTGCAAATTATACAGATATTAACGAGTGCCTACAGCCAGATAAATATGTCAGCAGCCTTCCTGCACCTGGGCTGAAGAAGGCCTCCGTGGCGCCAGAGTGGCCCAAGAGAGAGAGAAGGCCATGCCACAGGTTCACTGGGCCTCAATGGGTTTCCTACATGTTCGGCCCAGTAGAACCCACCAGCGACTGATAAAGCAAGTGTAGCGTGAGGGAAAGGGGCATCCTGGCTTGGATCAGAATAGATCGGCGGCGGCCTAGCGTGTAGCTCTGTCCTGTGTTTCTTCCCCTTCCTCGATTTCCCCTTGTAATCACCACTGTACTCGAATCTGCCATTGATCTGTTGAGAGAGTAGTAGTGGGTACCTAACACGTGGTATCAGTCGCCATCCCACCCCTCTTCCCCGCGCTGGAGACGCGCAAGCAGACGATCGATCGTCAACGACTCCTCGCCGCCATGGATCCGGCGCTCAAGTCCTACCTCGACAAGATGGTCGAGAGCTTGACCAAGGCGAGCGACAACACCCGTGCCGACATCAAGCAGCTCGCGGGCCGCATCGACACCCAGGCGGCGCAAGTCGAGGAGCTCTCCGCCTGGAAGCCCGATCTGGAGGACCGTATCACCAAGCTTCAGGAAGCAGTCGGGGCGCTGCAAGGCAAGCGCGCACCAACGGCAACAGCACCCATGGGTGGATCGCGGGCGGTGGATCTACCCGATCTAGCGCCTGGCGACGAGATCCACGGGCCCGATGGCCACGGCGGTTCCCATCAGCACCGGAGCGGGGCGCCGGCGGGTGGCATCCCGTCGGCGACCTCTCCGACCAATGGTACGCCGCACTTCTTACATCAAGCACATCCGCTCGATTCCGCGCTAGGCCCTTACCTGCCCCAGGGTCAGTTCGTGGCGGGGCTGGGTCAGACAACTCCGTCAGTCTCGTTTCCCCAGTTCTCTGGCGAGAATCCTAAAATTTGGCGCACTATGTGCGAGCAGTACTTCACTATGTTTCAAGTCCATCCATCATATTTCATTCCCATGTCTACCCTGCATTTCACTGGCCCCGCAGCGATTTGGTTGCAATCGGTCCAGCCGAAGATTGGTGCGCTCGACTGGGACGCGTTTTGCAACCTGCTCTGCTCTCGTTTTGGGCGAGATCGACATCAATTGTTGATTAGGCAATTTTATGCCCTTCGCCAGACTAGTTCCGTCTCAGATTACATTGAACAGTTCGAGAACTTAATGAATCACCTTATTTCCTATTCTGATGTTGTACATCCCCTGTATTTTCTGACGAGGTTCGTGGAGGGCCTGCGGACAGACATCCGCGCTGTGGTGATGGTCCAGCGTCCCAAGGATCTTGATACAGCTTGTGTACTGGCTGTCCTACAGGAGGAAGTGGCTGAGGGACACAGGGGACCGTGGTACAGCCAGCCTGAAGGCTCTGGGTTGCCTGGCCGCGCACGGCAGTCAACGCCACTGCCGTTACCACCACCACCAGTACGCGCACCAACTGCGCATCCAGCAGCGGAAGATCGCCGGGGGACGGATGCAGCTCGGGCCAACAGTGATACGTCGAAGCTCACTGCTCTTTGTAACTTTCGTCGTGCCAAGGGGCTCTGTTTAAAGTGTGGAGAGCGGTGGGGGCATGATCATGTGTGCCCCCCAACTGTCAAGCTTCACGTAATTGAGGAGATGCTCAGTTTGTTCAGCCTGGAGGCATCTGACGAACAACCAGCTCTGCAACTAGCAGCTCAAGAGCAGGTTTGGCAGTTATCCTTGCAAGCAGTATCAGGTACAGATGCACCCACATGCCTCCAGCTGCACGGATGGCTTCAGGGACAGGAAGTGTTGATGCTAGTCGACTCGGGCAGTTCTGCATCGTTCGTGTATGAGCGGTTGCAGTCCAAGCTGAGGGGAGTTCAGGATATGCCGCGTCCGGTGAAAATTGCAGTAGCAAATGGATCTGAGTTATGGTGCAGCCAGGAAGTATTGGGGTGCTCTTGGTACTCAGAAGGCAATGTGTTCACCACCAATTTCAGATTGCTGCCGCTGGGCTGTTACGATGTCATTTTGGGCATGGATTGGCTGGAATATCACAGTCCTATGCTTATTGACTGGCCAAGGCGTCGCATGCAAATCGAGCATGAAGGTTTTACAGTCATTCTGCAAGGAATAACCTCTTCGGTCAGCAAGTGTGATACATTGAACCACATTCAGCTTGCGGGCATGGAAAAGCAGTCAGCAGTCGCCTATGCAGTCCATCTCTGCTATGCCCAGGACTCAGAGGGTGTCACTGACATAACATGCACCGAGTTGCCACCCGAAATCACCAAAGTACTGTTGGAATACGAGGATGTGTTCATGGAACCTGTCGGACTGCCACCAAAGCGTGATTGCGATCACCACATACCTCTGATGCAGGGTGCGCAACCAGTTAACATACGGGCATATTGTCTGAAGCCGGAGCTAAAAACAGAGGTGGAGCGTCAGATCGCGGAAATGCTCAAAGCAAGCATTATTCAGAAAAGCAGCAGTCCTTTTTCCTCTCCCATCATCCTAGTGAAAAAGAAGGACGGAACTTGGTGAATTTGCGTGGACTACAGAAGATTAAATGCCATGACCATCATCGGCAAGTACCCAGTGCCAATTATAGAGGATATCTTGGATGAGCTAGCGGTCGCTAGCTGGTTCTGTACTTTGGACCTCCGGTCGGGGTACCACCAGATTCGTCTGGCCGAGGGCGAAGAGTTCAAGACGGCTTTTCAAACACACTGTGGCCATTTTGTGTACAAAGTGGTTCCGTTTGGCCTGGGAGGCGCGCCTGCAACTTTCTTGGGGGGGGGGGGCTGAATGTCACTCTGAAACCAGTCAATCGTGTGTGCGCTATGTCGTTCTTCGACGACATTCTTATCTTCAGCCGCACCTACGCGCTACACATTCAGCACTTGCGACAGGTCCTGTCACTCCTCAGAAAAGATCAGTGGTATGTCAAGAGATCTAAGTGTGTATTCGCGCAGCGGGAGGTCAGTTATCTGGGGCACACCATCTCGGGCAAAGGAGTGGCAACCGATCAGAGCAAAGTACAGCAAGTGGTGGACTGGCCAGTTCTAGTCTGTGTCAAGGATGTCCGGGCATTCCTTGGTCTGGCGGGGTACTATAGGCGTTTTGTTCGTCAATTTGGCATGATCGCATGGCTGCTGACGAACCTTCTACGCAAGCATGTTCAGTTCCAATGGACAGAGGCAACCCAAAATGCATTTGAAGCTCTCAAGCATGCACTGACTTCGGCTCCTACGCTGGCCCTACCAGATTTCAATAAACCCTTCATGATTGAAACGGATGCCTGCGAGTATGGGGTGGGCGCAGTTCTCCAACAGGATGGCCACCCAATTGCATACCTCAGTAAGGCGTTAGGGCCGAGAACAAAAGGCATGTCTACGTATGAGAAAGAGTATTTAGCAATTGTGTTGGCTGTTGAACAGTGGCGACCCTACCTGCAGTTCGGGGAGTTTGTGATCAAAACCGACCAACGCAGCTTGGTACACCTGGAAGAACAACGTCTACACACTCCCTGGCAACAAAAAGCTTTCACCAAACTCTTGGGGTTGCAGTACCGTATCTGTTATCGCAAGGGATCAGAGAATGGTGCCGCCGATGCACTTTCCAGACGACCGGTATCCTCTACTGAGCAGATTCAGGCCATATCAGTTTGCCAGCCCGCGTGGCTGCAAGAGATAGTTAAAGGCTATGATGTCGATCCCAAAACACAGCAACTGATCACACGACTGGCAGTGGCACCTGTGGAAGACAGCCATTTCACTCTCAACAAGGGAATTGTACGCTTCAAAGGGCGTGTCTGGCTGGGCAATAACAAACACCTGCAGCAACAGATCATGCATGCCTTGCATGACAGTGCTATCGGCGGCCACTCAGGATTCCCAGCTACATACAGGAGAATCAAGCACTTGTTCGCATGGCCAGGTATGAAACAACACGTTGAAGAGCATGTCCAATGTTGTCAGGTTTGCCAACAGGCCAAACCGGACCGAGCTCAATACCCAGGGTTGCTCCATCCGTTGCCAGTTGCCAAGCGCTGTTGGGATTTGGTCTCCATGGATTTCATTGGGGGACTGCCTCCTTCTCGGCAGTACAAATGCATATTGGTGGTTGTCGGTGTCAAAACCGGCGGATCTCGGGTAGGGGGTCCCGAACTGTGTGTCTAGGCGGATGGTAACAGGAGACGAGGGACACGATGTTTTACCCAGGTTCGGGCCCTCTCGATGGAGGTAAAACCCTACGTCCTGCTTGATTAATATTGATGATATGGGTAGTACAAGAGTGGATCTACCACGAGATCAAGGAGGCTAAACCCTAAAGCTAGCCTATGGTATGATTGTTGTAATGTATGTTCTGTCCTATGGACTAAAGCCCTCCGGTTTATATAGACACCGGAGGAGGCTAGGGTTACACAGAGTCGGTTACAATGGTAGGAGATCTACATATCCGTATTGCCAAGCTTGCCTTCCACGCCAAGGAAACTCCCATCCGGACACGGGACGGAGTCTTCAATCTTGTATCTTCGTAGTCTTGGAGTCCGGCGGACGATGATAGTCCGGCTGTCCGGACACCCCCTAGTCCAGGACTCCCTCAGTAGCCCCTGAACCAGGCTTCAATGACGATAAGTCCGGCGCGCATAATGTTCGGCATTGCAAGGCGGGTTCCTCCCTTGAATAATCCAGAGAAGATCATGAACACCAGGATAGTGTCCGGTCCTGCAAAATAAATTCCACATTCCATCGTAGAGAGAATAAAATGTACACAAGTCCAATCTGCTAACGTATTATGCGGCATGACATCACACCGCTACCAGGCTTTTACTTGAATCGTTTTTTATTATACCACCTCAGCACGTTTAGCGAAGCGGTTTCCTTGGCACGTCTTGTCGAAGCAGAGATCGTGTTCCCCTTATTCTGGGATTCTCATCAATAGGTGCGTGGGTAACCCAACCGTGCCCGTCGCCACGCCTCCTCTATCGAAGGTGAATCCCGAACG